GGAGCCATTAGCTACTATAGACTACCACTAAACTTGGACCTGACAGATTCATCCCGAATCCAGAATTCAGGGTGACTGCAAGTCGATACCATCCATCGGACAACGTGAGTCCGGACAAAGCTGGATTCAAGGCAGAATTGGAAAGAGAAGGTGAAGACAAGGTGAAGACACACTCCTTTGTGACGATCATGTGAACAACTCAGTCCTAAGGACAATTCCTGTCGCTTCAGCAAAAGCCAACGACTTGTTGGAATCGACACTGTTGAAGCTTAATGACAACATGTTGTCAGTATCTCAGTCTATGAGCTTGATACAAGAAACCCTTGCTCGATTTGCCGATGGCCAAGAGTTGAGGAATTGTCTGACTCAGACACCAACTCGAATAATGACGCTTCTGAATGAGACAGCGACACGCTGCTTAAAAAAAGGAGAGAAGAGTAACCCGACACGGGAGTTGAAAGATGATTTGCTCGACACGATCGCCATCGATCTGAGCGCTGACGAGTAAACCAACCAAAATGTTTCAGAAAAGCTTGCCAAACTCATCAATAAGAGATGGTCCGATGGACGCTTTTACTGTACAGTGGTTACAATATGTTTTTTTATGCTCCCCCCCTTTAGTGTGACCACGAGAACCCTTCAGAAGATACAGCAGGATTAAGCGACAGGCTTGCTAGTTGTGCCCTTTTGGCCGACTCAAACATGTTGGCCACCTCTGACATGGATGCTAATACATTTAAGCACCTCTAGTACTACCGAAAAGAAAGAACACACTGTCTCTTCCTCAAGATCCCAGTGCAGTGCACCCACTGCATAGTCAGATGTCTCTAATCCTCTGCCACTTGTCCGGCAACATTTGCAGGGTAAAGGAATTTCATCGTCAGCTTCTGACATTATCATGCAGTCCTGGCGGACCAGCACAAGAATCCAATACAGCTCTTACATTAAGAAATGGTTGGAATACTGTCGTAAATGGCAAATTAATCCAGTTTCACCACCACTTTTGGCAAGTGGGCTCAACGTTCTTGAGGAGCTTTATCACAAGGGACTCAGTTACAGTGCGTTAAACACTGCAAGGAGTGCATTGGCCAGTGTCATTGTATTACAGGGTAACCAGTCCTTTGGTAATCACCCGCTTGTTTCTTGCTTTTTAAAGGGAAGATTTACGACAAGACCAGCCGTACCTAAATACAGAGAAGCGTGGGATGTGAACACAGTTCTTGAACATTTAAAAACTTTACACCCTGCAGAGACTTTATCCTTAAAATTGTTGTCATTAAAAATAGTTATTTTGATGGCCGTATTGTCAGGCCAATGCTGCCAGACCATTCATGCTTTAACTACAAAGGACATGAAAACCTCAAACAACAAAGTAATGTTTATTGTAAATGATTTATTAAAAACTACTAAACCTGGTAAAGTATGTACTAAGTCAGAATTTCTGTCCTTCGATGAAGATCCTCGAATCTGTGTAGTGAGGTATCTCTCTGAATACCTGGGTATTCAGAGAGATACCAAGAACCTGAGTCATGATCATCATAAGTTACTTGTTAGTTATCAGAAACCACACAGGCCAGTCTCCAAGGACACTGTTAGTAGATAGCTGAAGATGGGATTAAAGCTTGCTGGCATAGATACTTCAACCTTTAGTGCCCACAGCACAAGAGCTGCATTAACCTCAGCTGCAAGAGCCCAGAAACTATCAATTACCACCATCATGGCTAGTGCTGGGTGGTCATCTGAAAACACCTTAGCAAAATATTACAACAAAACAATTACCAAACCAACAGAAAACTTTAGAAAACAACTACTCAATGCTTTGCAAAAATACAGTTATTTCCTGCTAAAAACCTTAACTAGAAACGCTATTTGATGAAAACAGTTGTTTGTGAGTATTACGGTTACAAGTGTCATTGTTCATGTTTACGACCAGACTGTTTATAAACACAATGTGTGATAATTAAAACTCTGGCTTGTTGTTGTCATATTTATGGTCGACTTATTCTTACGGTCACATGCTTTCAAGTCTCACGTGATTTCATTGTGACATGGACCAGTGACGAAATAGAATTGAGAAATTGAACGAGACTTACCTGTAAGTTGAAGTTTGATTGAGATTCTATGAGTCACTAGTCTGGAACAAGGGAGTCACGAGCCCACCCTGTCATAAACACGTATTACGATACATGGTTGTATCAAGGGAACAGGTTATTACATGCCCTAATCTGTTTCTTTTTTATGTGACCGGTATGTTATTTGTTTGAAGTCTGAACATGAAGATGCCCACGCATATCTCTCATGTGACTCGCTTGTTCCAGACCAGTGACTCATAGAATCTCAATCAAACTTCAACTCACAGGAAAGTCTCGTTTAATTTCTCAGTTAAAAGGTATATGTGGCAAATTAAAGGGGGTAAACACTGCAGTATCGAAAAAAAGACTACAGAACTCTGCTGCTAGGCTAGTCACAACAAGTTTTTAGATGGGCTACCAGTTGAGCAGAGGATAATTTGCAAACTTCTTCTTTTCACCTTAAAGTTGTTAACGGTAGTCTCACACCACAATATCTACACACTCTGTTAACACCATACGCTCCGCCAAGGTAACTTAGATCGGCCTTTAAAAACCTTCTTGGCATTCCTAAATCTAACCTTGGTACATATTGAGACGAAGCCTTTTCAATTGCCGCACTGCAGTTGTGGGATCAACTACCAAGCTACATCCAAAACTAGGTTCTAATTTAAAACTTTCCTGTTCAAACAGGCACTATGTTAGTTGCCTGTTATGAACGACAAAACAAGTTGTTATTTTATTTTTATTGTTATAATAATTTTTTTACCAGAGCTGCGACCCTGTGAACGAGGTTACACAATGGTTTTCCACTGAAATATATTTTCAATTCATTGGCTTATTTTCTGATTGGCTGTTCAAAACAATGTCACAGCTAAATGGACTAATCAGCGCAATTGACATCAACAGCTTATGCAAAGCTATTTGCTTGGCACTTAGCACTTAAAAATTCACTGGGCTTTGACGACCTTTGTATCTGTTAAACGTCGCAAATTGATATTTCATTCAGGGCAATAGAATTAATTCTTATCATACTGTTGGGCAACTTTTGGTTAACTGTTGGTATACTGTCGGCCGACAGTTGGCCAACAGTATATCAACGGTCAGCTGACAGACTCTTAGGGGAGCTCTTCTTCACTTTTACCGAAATAAGTGGTGAGAATTCACTGGAATTTGCTGACACCAAGCATTTGAATCAAACAACAGACCCCTCATTAACTCAACGAAAATGACACTGAAGATCGACTCAAGGATGTTCAAGAGCTTCTTGTGAACTCTTCCAAGACCAACTTTGCCTACACGTAGAAGTTAATTTATAGAGAAAAAGGAAGGCACATATGTTCAAAAATTGTACGTGCCAGCAAGTTAAAAAGGTAAAGAACAGTGCAGATAAGCAATGCTCACCTTGATCATAGGAGCTTTTGACAGCATTTGCAAGAAGCAAAAAAAACTTCCTCATCCACGATGAATTGACAGATGCATAGTCTCTCCAACGGAGATTCTGGTAACGGCGCAGTTCCTGGCAAATGTGTAGGAGCTTTTCACAAACTCACATCGAAGGTGCACGCTTGCAAGCCAAAACAAAATGGCAGATTGTGTAGATCATGAGATTGAATTTCTATTTACTGAAGACGACTTATATTGTAGGTTTGATTAGAGTGAATACGATAACAATGAATGTGTTTTAATACAACTGTGGGTGCGAGTGACAAGACTTTTTATTTGAATAAATTTACACACGTAGCCTGGAACTATGGTGGAAGATCACAGACCAGTCAATAATATTACATCTCCCTCCTTTTGAGGAAAATATAGAAAACTAGATGCTTAACTAATGTTCAGCTGTTCAAGTTCCTGTTAAAGAAAGAAAACTAAACAATGCATGCAATCATAACTTCAGTCTCTCTGGAGCTTAAACTCTCCTAGTTGATCTGCACAGAGGAGGACGAACTGCAGCAGGAAAAGGGTCTGTTTCACCAGTAGGAGAACAGGCAACACTAGCACTGACAGGGGACGTAGAGGAACTGCTGGTCACAAGCTCTTCAGAACGTAAGTCACCAATTGGAATATCCTTGGAGACTTCATTTGAAGGAACTGGAAGGTCAAAGGGCTTAGCAGTCCTTTGTAGGTGCTGACAGTTTCTTCATTTCTTCAGAGTAGTCCACCGGATAAGGCTGGGGGGGCATCATCCACACAGTGAACCACACCTGGTACCCATGGCAATTAAGACAACATAAAAGATAAAAAATAACACGAAACAATTAAAAATATACAAAGTCATCAAGATCCTTATTGTAGTTCATGCAAGTTCCTTTAATGAATGGAATCTTCGCTAGTGCTGCTTTGTTGGTAGGTGTTTTAAGAACTCTTTTGAATGTACCAATGTTCTCACATTCTCGGGCAGTCTTATCTAAACAATTCCAGACAACAGGACCCCTGAATAATAGACTGTCTCTACCTAATTTCAAGTTTTACCAACAATACTCGTCACAAATCTTGAAACATCTTTGTGATTTTCCCCTTCCCCATTGTTTTTTGGGTATTACAGTCGTCTCAGTGCTCTAAAATACGCGTGGCTCAACATTGGGGAAGGAAAGGGGCACATTTGAGTGAGAACGAGGGTGTCAGGAGTGAATGTAAGAAATCTGGAGAAAACTCAAGACAAATGGCCCCTGTTTCAACGATCTGTGACGAGTATGGTAAGTACTTCCACTAACTTACCTTTGCGTCTTGAGTCAGCATTTTTTCATGTTAAGACAGCCTATTTTGCACGTGTTTTGCCTTGAACATGTCAACAGCTAATCTTCGTTTATAGATATAGCCAAGACTTTGCAAGTGAACATGCTGAAATATGTCACAATCCATAGTATTCTTAGGTAAGCTATGTATTATTTTAGCCGCTGTTAGGCGCAATCATTCAATTTCCATTACAGAACAGGGCCTACAGATCTGCCTCGCTAGTTCACGCAAATAAGCCGGCAAAAAAGTGTATAGAGCACGCGTCACTACATACAAGGATGTCAACAATCATGTCAATCATATCTTTACATTTGCATAGCAATTGTTCCTAAGTTCTCCATCAAACTTGCGGTCAAATCATTGACGAACAATGGCCGTAATGCTGCGGAAGTCCCGGCTAACTGCTTTTGTTTAAACTCTTTGCACCTAGACATAAAATAATTACCTGGTGTACCAAGCTGTACTAGAAACGTTTAATGTGCTATCGAAATACCTCGATATGAATAAAAGTTTAAAGTTTGAAAGTGTAAAAGTTGACCATGAAACAGGGCCGACAAGAACTCAAAAATAGAAACAGTTGACATATAATCATTTGCCGAGTCGTTTGAGTCGGAAGCTGCGTTTGCTTGCTATATACGCTCCCAAAATTCACTGAAAGTAGATGTATGGAAACTAGCAGCTAACCATTTAGCTAAATTTGTAAAACGGGTATTTAAACTCTTTTAAATAACGATGCCACATCTCAGTGGAATACAGTAGGGACTTTAAGATACGACGACGCGGACATGACAAAAGCTGCACGAAGTAAAAATACCCAAAATGACTACCACTGCGCAAGATCGTGACATAAACAAGCCGCGTCCTTGCTCAAGACGAACGCGCTGAAGACCATTTCGACGTTGTTGACAAACTGTAAGTATTTCGACCTATTTAAGACAGTGAATTGGCACTTTTTCTTTGTATGTCGAAAGCTTCATTATCTCGGCTGCATTCGTAACGTTTTTTTTTGTCGTTTCCTTTCAGGCTCAGTTGAACTTGCAAACAGTAAACAGAAGAAACATCAGTTGCCATCGCCTCGAATTCCAAACTGCAGTGAGTAGATTTTTGAATTAACGATTTGATGTATAAAAGCAATATTGTTTCCGATTATTTCCTTCTTGTCAAAGATTCTGCCAGTATGTTTAAATTTACTTACAGATCTTGGTTACTCGCACTACCCTTCATTTTGGAGGAATTTAATTCACACACTATTTCCCAAAGAAATTGAGTGAGATTTTAAAGAAAACACAACAAAACAAGCTAACAGAAACATGTAAACAACTATGTTTGCCAAATGTGCCTCTGATGGCAAAAGGTTTGCTTTATTAAGCAGTCCCTACAGAGTACCGGATTTATAACTATACACACACTTGGCTTGGCCCGCCGACGTCCAATACTTTGCAGCTGTATATCATATATTCCACTTATTATTTTCTACAAGTGATTTCTGCATATAGTGCAACATTCTAGGCTTGATTTAATTTTCTTGTAGCCGTGGCCGAGAAATAATCTTTGTAAACCCATTCAGTGCAAAGAAGAAATCCGTTCGGTGAAGTGCCTTGTGGCAAAGAATGGCGGATACCCTAAACAGCATTAAAGATCCTGGTTTTTTTTCTGGATAACCGCTCAGTTTGAGACCATATCCAGGTTTTGGTGCAAAGATTAAAGGAAAAGAGGCCAAGAAATGGAAGGAAAGTGGTATAAGCCCTACGAAAACTGAATAACATGAAGCTATAGAACAAATTATTGCCATGGAAGAGTCTGCCGATGAGCACGACCTGGAAGACGGCAAAAAGAGGGACAAGATGGAGGGAGACAGGGTGAAAGCAGAAGAAATGCACAGAACTGCTATGGACACATTAGGGAAAACACAGAAGAGAAAGTCCAAGGAGGAGCAGAGCAAAGCGAAGAAAAGCAGAAGTGGTGGTGAAACGGTAGAGTTTCTTAAACTAAAGGCGGAGCAAGACATGGATATTAAGAAGCAAGAATTTGATTTGAGAAAACAGGAGCAAGAGAAGATGGCTGAAGCCCAAAAATGTTCAACCAAATGTTAAAACAACAACAGCAACATCATAAGCAAATGCACGACATGCAATCATTACTAACGCAGCAGCAGCAGCTGCAAACCACAACAATGAAGATTATCGCAACACTAGTTCCGAAGTAAACAAACTCGTTTTTTTTTAATTCCTTGCGGTGCTTCAAGTCTCGGTTTATTTTGTTGTTATATAAACTTGAACTAAGTTGGCCTGGACTTCAATCTGGCGAAAGACAATCAGTACTGTAACCGTGTTAGATGTTCAATGACTGGAGTTTGGACTTTATGTCAACGTTTTTAGAAGGTTAAAAATTTACACTTTTCATGAATGGATTAAAATTGATGCTGACAGCCCTAATAAAGCCAAGTTATTCGTTGTGTTTAATTTTATTTGACATTGATTTACTTTTCTGGGTATCTTCCCATATAAACGTAGAACAGTTTTTGGGTGTTATGTTGGGTGGTTGTAAAACAGCATGATCAGGGAAAATAATCCTCTAGAGAAGGTGGATCTAGGTCAAAAAAATTACTGTACCAGCATGTCAAAACATTTTGAAGGATTGCACAGACAATGTACATTTTGCCTACTTGGCTCAGCCCTATTGTTAAATTCCT